TCCTCCACCTCCTCCAGCTCCTCCTCCTCCTCCTCCTCCTCCTCCTCCTCCCCCTCGTCCGCATCCTCCTCCTCCTTCTCCTCCTCCTCATCCCGCTCCTCCTCCTCCTGTTCATCTCCATCCTGCTCCTCCTCCGTGTCCTGCTCCTCCTCCTCCTCCTCCTTCTCGCTTCTTGCCGAGTGAAGAAACAAGTACACACGTACGCGTATGGCACGATAGGGCGAGTGTGACAGAATTACGGATTGACAGAACGAGCCAGGCGAGGCCCGCGAAACGCATGTGTGCGATATGTGCAACGCGGAGGTACGGGCAGGAACCAACTACCAAAAGTACGGACGCACATCCAACACATTGAAGCATACAGAGTAAAACATGTGAAAAGAGGGCGAAGGGTAAGCACATGCATGACAATAGTATATTTCACACACTTTCCTCAAACGTCCGGTGTCTCGACTTCTGTACTTCGTATTTCTGCACGGCACATTGTTGCACTCGTACTTCGGCGTGGTACTTCTTCAATAGCAATAATTGGGATATGTTTCGTTATTCTGGGGGGGGGGTCTGGTTTTGGCCGGCCGGAATCTCTCGATCCTGAGGGGCACAATACGGATTGGTGACAAGTCGTGGCGCGGTGACCTCCACGTCCCCGCTGCACGGTGCTGGAACCTCGGAGGCCCCAAGCGCCCAACAACATCCTCGGAGAACGACCCAAGTCCCAAAACCGTCTGGTCACGCCAAATCCTCCCTGACTCAGATGTTTCCTCGTGCTACTTATGCCCCTCCTTCCTACGAGAGTGCCCCCCCACCCACCCAGGTCCTCTATGGCTGCCGCATCTTGATTGAAGGCGTCCACGTCGTATCGTATGAACTTCCTCGCGGCCCCCCAGCGCACGCAAATCCCGAGAAACCAAAGAACTCTCGAGGCCTCCTAAACGGGGCCAGGGTTTCGAAGCGGACGAAAGGGGAGATAGCAGAGGGCGTGGTGGGGGGGGTCGGTTCCACGACCGCCAGGGAGACATCCGGAGCGACTCTCGATCCTGGACCATGTAAAGGGGGACAGCGAAAAAAACAAAGTGGGACAACGCAAAACGCACGCACGCACGCGCGCACGCTCGCACGCACGCGCGCACACACACACCACCCACACAACAGCAGCAGCAGCAACAACAACAACAACAACCACAACAACAACAACAGCAGCAACAACAACAGCACCGCCAACATCACCACCACCACCAACAACAACAATAACAACAACAACAATAATACCAACAACACCAACAACACCAACAACACCAGCAACAACAGCAACAACAACAACAACAGCAACAACAACAATCATTTTACCCGAACGCTCAGTGTTCTCCCCAGTGCCAGGGTTTTCTTGCGACACCAGCCAATACCCCCACTTCGTGGGGGGGCCGTTCAAGCTCTACCAAATATCCAAACGACTCTTCGAGACCACCCACACCCAGCTTCCCGCCCTATGACGTTGGGACACTTCACTTCGTGGCGTGCGGACGACCCTGGCTACTACACTGGCGTGGGGTACACACCCACAGAGGTTGATCACATCTGTTACATATGATGTGGTACACGGTACACGTGAGATGGTACGCAGTGCCAAGATAGTTGGTCACATTTTTGGGGCAAATTCGTGGGGATGCGATTACAGAAGTACATGTGTTACACTGATGTTATACAGTCCCAAGGATGACGCATGCATTGCTCATAGACTCATGGCGCTATGATCCTAACTCTCAGTGCCCAACGCGCGCGTGCACAGCCAGACGGAGGGAGAGAAACACATGTATACAAGGTTCGTGACATACGCACGGTCCACCATGTTGTAAACGATCGCATGCACGGTAAGTTCTGAAATTATACGTATGTACAAGCAGACATGCGAGGGAGAAAGGGAGATGGCCATCGACAGTTCCAATACGGCTCCAAGGCGGAAGAGGGGGAGGAGGAGCAGGACAAGGAGGAAAGGAGAGAAGCGAGAAAGGAAGAACGCAGACGGCGCGGCTCTGGACACAAAGGGGTGCCATACTTTCTCCTGCTTTCGCAAACAGGTCCAGTCACACGTAGGGGTATACTCAACCGAATGGTCTTCGCATCCAGAAGCATACTAAAGGCGCGACTGGATTCGAGATTTTTCGGATGAGAAAGTAATGCGTTTTCATATGTTTTCTGAACATCGCATCTTGAAATTATTGAAAACCCATTGTGTTTGGCAGGATTTCGACATGCGCGCGCGGCGGCCGCGCGCATGTGCACTTCGTCTCATTGTTTGCAAGGGATGGTGGCCCTCGCAGGCGCGCAACCGTTGTTGGAGAAGTTCAAAGCACCTGAAGAAGTAGCACGCAAAGACCCTTTTGACAGAAATGTTTAAAAAGTGGTGTGTTTCCTATGAATCCGCAAGAGCGCGCGGAAGGACATTTTGACAATTTTTTCTTAAAAAACCATTGGGTTTTTGATGTTTTTATGTTAAAATCGCTACGAAACCTAAGGTTTTGGAAGGATTTCGTCTTGCGAGCGCGAATGTCCACTTTACCTTATTTTTTGCAAGGGATTCTTGAAATTTGATCAACTAAGAACAAGAATTTTCATTTTCTATTGTTTTTTGCAAGGGAAAACGAGCGTCAACAAAAAACCGGATCCGGGGGTAATCCACTTTTCTGAAGCTTTCGCAGAAAAATGATGAAAATGTAGCTGCGGCCTAGGTTTTGGGCGGGGGGCGTGCACCAGGGGGTCCAACAATAATAATTCTTTAGAAGTAATAATGTTCAACAACAACAACAACGACAACGACAACCCCAACCCACCACCACCACCAACAACAACAACACCAACACCAACACCAACACCAACAACAATCGTTCTAAGACTGCTCGTCCTCACTTGCCCACGTGTCATTCAAAACGAGTTCCCCACACTCTCGATACCCGCCCTTTTTGTCTTCAAACACACCCCCTGCGGGGAGATTGTTTCTCTTTGCGGGGGGCGGCGGGCTTAGACAGGCGGGCAAACCTGAACGGGCGGACAAAGTTTCGTGGGCGTACCTGTGCCCGCCACTGGAATTGGTGTGGTCCCTGCAAAAAGAAGGGAAGAAAACGAGGGAGAGTAGGAGGAAGGGAGGGTGACGGACCAAGGAAGAGGGAAAGCGCCAGGAGAAAAGTAGCGAAGAGGGGGGCGGTTGGTGAGAGGCAGAAAGAGAGAGAGAGAGAGAGAGAGAGAGAGCGAGAGAGAGAGAGATATTGTTTCTCTTTCCGGGGGGCGGCGGGCTTAGACAGGCGGGCAAACCTGAACGGGCGGACAATGTTTCGTGGGCGTACATGTGCCCGCCATTGGAATTGGTGTGGTCCCTGCAAAAAGAGGAGGGGGAAAACGAGGGAGAGTAGGAGGAAGGGAGGGTGAGGGACGAAGGAAGAGGGAAAACGCCAGGAGAAAAGTAGCGAAGAGGGGGGCGGTTGGTGAGAGGCAGAGAGAGAGAGAGAGAGAAAGAACAAACAAAAGAGAGAGAGAGAGAGAAAGAGAGAGAGAGAGAGAGATACTGACAGGCAAGAGAGTAGAGAAAGAGAGAGGGAGGGGAGACAGAGAGAGAGAGAGAGACAGAGAGAACAAAGGGAGGAGGGAGAGGGAGGAGGCAGGAGAGGGGAGGGAGAAGGGAGCAGGGAGAGGAGGGGATAGGGCAGAGAGGCATAAGGATGAGGGAAGAGAAAGGGGAGAGGCAAGCGAGGAGAAGAGGGAGGAGGGAGGAGGGAAAGGGAGAAGGAGCAGGAAGGTAAGAGCGTGAACGTTCGAGGAAGTCCTAAGCGAAACCGCCGTTCATGAAGGAAGTCTCGGGCGGGAACCCACGACGGGCGGGCGATCCCCTGACGGGCGGGTCGGGCGCGTGGGACTTCAAGCGGGATGCCTGAGTAATTATGGCGAGAGCGCGATTACTACGAAGAATTCAACGGCGTCCTTGGCGCAGCGTGTTTCCTGAGCGTCGAAAACGCGATTTCTGAATACACTGCATGGAAGTCACAGGCGAGAGCGCAAGTCCTGAATAACATGTGAAGGGCTCTCTGGCGGGAGCGGGGGTCTTGATGTTGCGAGGAAGTCTTGATTCAATTGCGAAGAAGTTTCAAGCGGGAGCGCTGTGCCTGGGCAAATTGTGAGGAAGTCTCAGACGGGAGCTGAGGTCCTGATTAAATTGCGAAGAAGTCACAGGCGGGAGCACCGATCCTGAGCGAATTGTGAGGAAGTCTCAGGAGCGGGGGTCCTGAGCAAATCTGGAGGAAGTCTCAGGCGGGAGCCGTTGTTGTTGCAATCCGGGGGGCCAGGGGCTCAGTTTGAGCACCAAGACTTGCCCTGTCAAAAAACAGGGTGCGAGCGTCGAGGGGCACACTTTGATCGAGAAAACATGCATACAACGGTGAGGGGGGATCAACAATAATTATTCTTCAAACGTGAAAGTTCCGAAAACACATGCCCGCGCCTTGTTGCGCCGATGCGAGACCGCCAGTGGAGCCCCGGCGAAGGGGAACGCACACGGAACTATCGAATGACAGGATTGCCTTGGTGGGGATGGGTGCTGTCGGCGGTGAGGCAAGGACCTGGCCCTGAATCGAAAGGGAGGAAGTCTCGAGCAGGGCTGCTATTGTTGCTGGGAGCGGCGCCAATGCTGAAGAGAGTAGGGCGCTAGTCCAGCGTACGTAAAACAAAACGAAGCCTCGAGCGGGAATGCTGGTTTTGTTGGGACGGCGGCTTCCGGCGGCGAGAAGGAACACCGCCTTGAGTAGGAAAGGAGGAAGCATCGAGCGGGAGCCGTGGTTTTGTCGGGACGGGGGTTGTCGGCGGCGAGGAACAGCACCGTCCCGAGGCAAAAGAGAGGAACTCTCGAGCGGGAGCGTTGTTCTTGTTGGGAGCGGCGCCAATTCAAAAGAGAGTCGGGCGCCAGTCCAGCGTAAAACGGAAGGAAGTTTCGGGCGGGAGCGCTGGTTTTGTCGGGGCGGCGGCTTTCGGCGGCGCGGAGGAACACCGCCTTGAGTAAGAAGGGAGGAAGCATCGAGCGGAAGCCGTGGTTTTGTCGGGATGGGGGTTGTCGGCGGCGAGGAGCAGCACCGTCTTCAGGAAAAAAGAAGAAAGCCTCGAGCGGGAACGTTGTTCTTGCTGAGAGCGGCGCCAATTCAAAAGTGAGTCGGGCGCCATCCCAGAGTAAAACGGAAGGAAGTTTCGGGCGGGAGCGCTGGTTATGTCGGGGCGGCGGTTTTCGGCGGCGGAGAGGACCACCGCCTTGAGTAAAAAAGGGGGAAGTCTCGAGCGGGAGCGTTGTTGTTGCTAGGGGCGGCGCCGATGAGAGAAAGACCAACGCACCAGTCCAAGGCAAAACGGGAGGAGATCTCGAGCGGGAGCGCTGGTTTTGTTAGGACGGCGGCTTACGGCGGCGAGCAAGAACACCAGCCCTGAGTAAAAAAAGGGGGAAACTCGAGCGGGAGCTTTGTTGTTGTTGTTGTTGTTGTTGTTGTTGTTGTTGTTGTTGTTGTTGTTGTTGTTGGGGGACCGTTTTTAGCGGCCCCCGAAACCGCTCGAGCGTGAGCCTCATTTTCAATGAAAATCTAGCCGGCGCCTCGGCGAGAGCGCCAGGGCGCCTTTAAGGGGCCCAACAATAATCATTGTTTAATAATTAACTTCCAACAGCGACAACAACAATACCAACAACAAGAAAACACTCTATACTTCTCTTTCTCTCGCTCTCTCTCTCTCTCTCTCTTTCTTTCTCTCCCTCTCTCTCTCTCTCGCTCTCTCTCTCTCTCTCTCTCCCCCTCCCTCTCTCTCGCGCGCGCGCAAATGCACGCGCGCGCGGTGCTCTCTGCCGCGAGCG